AAAGATTATATGTCTTTGGAGAGATAATGAAGGGTGAAGGCCAAGGTCACAGGCACCCAGTCGTGTGTGCTCCCTTCTCCTTCTGTGACTTCCATGCATGTACTTCTGTCCCTGACAAAGCCTTTTTCATCTAGATGAATGTGAATTCATCTCCAGCCTAACATACCATCAGCACACTGAGAATTAGACCAACAGAGGAACAAGACTTTTTCCAGCCTCACACCCAACGTATTTTTCGGGACTCAAAAGAACTGAACCACCTGCTTCTCTCCTTATAAAGAAAAATTAACAAATGTTTTGAAACACTTTCCCAGTGCCCAGTCTCTATGTTGGATTTTGTGGGTGATATAAAAAGAATAAGATATGGTCCCTGCTTTCCAGGAATTTTAAATACACTTGAGCACAATGCAAAGTAGACAGAGCTGGGTTTAAACCCCAGCTCTGTCTACTTACTATCTCTGTGGTCTTAAACAGTCACTCAGCTCCTCTGTACATCTATTTCCAAGCCTGTTAAACACAGTGACCAGTATCTGTATTGTTAGGTTGTCATGAGGTTTAAAATTGCTACTTCATGCAAGAGATGTCCTGGCTCAGAGGAGATACTTGGAAGATGTAAGTCACTTCATTCTTAAGTCACTTGGCAGTTAAATAATATAACAGAAGAGCTATTGCAAGACAGCCTGTAATTCACTGCCAAGTGAAACATCATCCAAAGATGCTTCTAGAGTTTAGTGGCAGACAGAGCCATTCAGGCTGAAGTAGGTAGGGCAGACCCTGAATGACAGCATCTTCCTGGGATGGGCTAATTTTCTCAGGTGCATCATAAACCCTTGGCCCCCCCAAGTCCTTGTTCCTTACCAGTGATAAGGAATAAAGACTCAGTCACTCAAGATGGAGGTGGCACGATGGGAGCCAAAGGATGTGGTTCTGCTGTCTTCCCCACGCCCGTACCGCTGACATTGTTCACCCTCACATGGCATTGTGACCATCCACCTGTCTCAATGATTTTCCAGGCCACTGTGACTGAATCATCCCTGCCTCTGCTGTGTGAGTAACCAGAGTCCCCAGGAAATAAGAAACCAAATGGAGGACCAATATATGCCTGGGATAAACAAAAGTCTAAGAGGACAGAGACGGGTTCACTCCAAAAGCCCTAACAAAGTACAGTTATAACGAAAGCGTACAGGGGCATTTACTTGTAGGAGAGACTGTTCATAGCAGTTAACAGCTGGCGTCAAGTGTCAGCTCCCTCTTCTGCAGAAGAACCACACATCTCTTCCCCACAGGGACTCTGTTGGGGGAGTACGCCATATCACAAGGTTTTTCATGACTAGATGGCCTGCTTTGACCAGTGGCATATGACAGGATGCAAGAGATACCACAGGAACAGTGGATCTCAGGTCCCAGCATGAGAGAGCCTGGTGCTCAGGGTGAGCCACTAGGGGCTGAGCCATGTCAGAGGTAAGCAGACCAAGAGTCTGGCAGATCCAGGAACTAGAGAAGTGTTTGTTGTTGTAAGCACCGAAATGTTGGAGGTTGGTTGTGGTCACACGTGCTGACAAAGACATTGTCAATGTTACTTGAACATTTGCTTTGTGCTGGGGCTGTCCTGAGCGTTTTGCATCTGTTCTCTCATTTCATGTGCACATTAATTGTGTAAGCAGTGCTTCAGCCAGGGAGTTACTCTGTGTGCAAATCACATGTGAGAGGAAGAGTTCTTCTCACAGTTCTGGAGGCCAGAATGTCCAAGGTCAAGGTCCTGACAGGTGAGGGCTGCCTGCTCCAAGGAGGAAGGCTGTTGTGTCCTCCCATGGCAGAAGGCAGAAGGCGAGGGCTAGAGAACTGAATCCGCCTTGACAAAGGCTTGCTTCTCGTCGTGAGAGAGGGAGGCTTCATGACCTGATCAAATCCTATTGTCACATAAACAATACTTAAAATTTGGAAAGGACACAGTCCACTCATAACAGTCCTGAAAGGAAAAAAAAAAATCCATCAACCTTGAAGTCTTTACCAAGGGAAAATATCATTCAAAAATGAAAGCAAATGAGACTCTTTAGGCAAACAAAAGCTGAAAGAATGCATCAGACCTGCACTTTATGAAATGTTTAAAGGAGCCAGGCACTGGCTCAGGCCTGTAATCCCAGCTACTCAGGAGGTAGAGATCAGGAGGATGGCAGTTCAAAGCCAGCCCCGAGCAAATAGTTTGTAAGACCCTATCTCGAAAAAACCCATCACAAAAAAGGGCTGGTGGAGTGGTTCAAGCAGTAGAGTGCCTGCCTAGCAAATGTGAGGCCCTGAGTTCAAACCCCAGTACTGTCAAAACAAAAGAAAAAGAATGTTAAAAGGAAATCCTTTAAGCAGAAGGGAAATTATTCCAGATTAAAATGTGGATCTACACAAAGAATGAAAGGACTTGGAATAATAACTATGTGCATAAATATTTACTTTAAAATCATTATTTAGATATCTTTAAAAGATAGCGCTTTAGAGCAAAAGTCACGATATGTTAAGGATTTTATAGCATGTAGGAATAAAATGTATGACCACTACACACAAAGATCAAAACAGAAGGAATGGAAATAGGCTGCTTAAAAGCTCCTATGCCATGTGTGAAGTGGTAGACTGAGAAGTTAAAAATGTTTACAAAAAACTCAAAAGCAGTCCCCAAATAACACAGCAATGACTTTCAAGAATAAAGCCAACAAATGAACTAAAACAGACTTACTAAAAATGATAATAAAAAGAAGACAGGAAAAGGGGGAAATGATAAAGAACAAAAGCAAACAAATAGCAATCAGTGGTGACATTAAATGGAATAGTCCAAATACCAATGAAAAGGCAGAAACTACCCAAGAAGAGAGCAAAAGTAAGTCACAGCTATAAGCTGTCTACACAACACTCGTCTTAAATAGATGGCTATGTACAGGTTAAAAGTAAAAGGATGGAAAAAGACATATTAAGCTAACTCTGGTTTTAAAAGAACCTAGAATAGAGCCAGTTACCAGAGGCTCATGCCTGTAATCCCAGCTACTAGGGAGTTAGTGATAGGGTGATCATGGTTTGAAGTCAGCCCCAGCAAATAGTTTGAGAGACGGTCTCTCAAAAATACCCAACACAAGAAAAGGGCTGGTGGTGTGGCTGAAGTGGTAGAGCACCTGCCTAGCAAACTTGAGGCCCTGAGTTCAAACCCCAGTGCTACCCCCGCCCCCCCCCAAAAAAGAATCTAGAATGGTTAAGCGGGGTAGATTTCAGAGCAGTGAGTATTAGCTGGCACAAATAGGTCATTTCATGAAGGTACATAGCAAGCTTGGGGAGGGGGGAGTTAGTTTGCCAAAGTGTGGCCACTGCCCCCTCACCCTGAACTTGCCCTTGAAGCTACAGTCTCCCAGGGGAAAGAAGACACCCCTTCCTGTCAGGGTGGTGTTGGGGTTGAAGCTGGAAAGTCTTGCTAAGCTCCTCTTTGCTTCTTGTCTTTCATGTTTTCTCCCCCTGCTGCCCAGCCATATCCAAGCCACCTCTACCCTCCATAGTGGCTGGGAGAGGAGGTGTTGGGGCTTCTGGGTAAGAGGGAAGCAATTTCAGGGATGGGGGCAACTGTGAGTACAGGTCAGTTCAAATCACATTCCGTGTGGGCATCAGAAGTCACAATCCTAGACTTGTCCACTGGGGAGTCACAGTTTGGGTGACAGACAGACATCCAGACAACGATGACGCAGTAGACCAGGCACAATAAATCCTTGGCCTGCATTCCCTTTAGGTCATTCCACCAGGCCTCCAAGTTGGTTTCTGCCATCCATCCATCCACTCTGCTATGGAGAGATCTTTCCACAAGACAAATGTGTCAAGGTCAAAAGCCCTCTGATACTCACCCTGGGGAAAGGCCAAACCTTTCCCCAGGAAAGGATGGACTCCAGGATCCTAAACATCCCTCCAGTTTCATCTTACCTCCTTCTGTTCCCACTGCAGCCACAACACAGGCTCCGCTCTGCCTTAGGTATCCAGACAGGTAACTATGCTGTTCCTGTCTGTCCTACTAATTCATGCAGCCGCTTCCACTAGGAAACACTCCCAGATTGCCCTACCAATCTTGAAGAGGAGCTCCAGAGCCTCCATGAAAACATTCACCTCCCAGGCCTGGGGTATCTTCATTTGTCTTCCGTGCCCCTGATTAAACGGACATTTCTCCACCCAGGCTCTTTGCCGGATGCCTTGGCAGAGAAGGTTGGGATCAGTAAAAGACTGTGGAGTGGGCCTGATGTCAACTCTGGGATCACAGGCAAGACACCAGGACACCAGGAACTTCCAATTTCTCCAGAGAAGCAAACATGGGTCCCCCGCGCTGGCCGGCCCCCTCCCCCTTGCTTATCTCTGAGCTCAGGCTGCCGATGAACCAGCCACCTCCCTGGCCCCGGGTGGGCTTGGAAGGCGCGGTGAAGCAGGTGCGGTAGGACCTGGACTTTAAAATCTGAGTTGGAGCGTGGCGTCAGGAACAGAGTGGGCATGTGTGTGCGTGTAAGGAAGGAGGGTGGTGGGGTATTAAACCGTTCTCTTTCCCCAGCGGCTGCTGGGTCTCACGTGCTTTGAGTCAGGGCACCAAAGCTGTCTAGTGACTGTGGCTTTTTCCTCTCCCTCGGGGGCACCCACCCAGCGCCCCGGGAGCGCTTGAATGAATGCGGGAGGCCCGGCGCGCATGAATGAGTGCGTGAGGGAGGGAGAGCGGGCACCAGCGGGCAGAATGGTGAATGGCGACCGCGCCGCTCCGGCACAGGGGGCGCGGGCGCGGGTTCCACTTCCCTCTCCCGCCAGCTGGTGGCCTCGACAAGGTGGCGGCGCCGGCAGCGGCCCGGGCTGGGACGGCCGGGGCGCGGGATGGAGGGGGAAGGGGCGTTCCCGGCGGCCGCGCCTTCCGCGGCTATTGGATTAGTGGCCTTCAGGGATGAGCTCAGCCGGATCGGCTTTCAGCTGCAGCCTCCGGGCCGGCCGGGAAGGCGGGGAGCGGGCGGCGGCGGCGGAGGGGGAGGCGGTAGCGGCTGCAGCATCCAGAGCTGGCCGCGGCGGCCGGCGCGTCCCGCGCACAAAGGCGCCCAGCCCCTGGGGAAGGCGATGAGCGCACGGCAGCCCGGGCCACAGCTGCAGCCACCGCTGCGCGCGCCCAGGGCTCTGGGGAAGACGCTGGGCGCGCCGGGGGCCGGCGGCCGAGGTGCGGCCGGTGCGCCCTGAGCGCGGGACTCGCCGCCCTGCAGGTCAGACGCCAGGCTCCGGAGCGGCTCCCCACGATTGGCGCAGTGAGGTGACCCCCCACGACCTGGGCCCGACCCCCGGTGCCGTCTCGTCGCGCCTGAGCGCCAACTTCGCCAAGAACGCTCCCAACTCCAGGCCACCGTGCCTGGCAGAGAGGGCGCTGCTGCTGGGCACCAGCTCTGAGGACGCGCTGCTGGCTCTGGGGAGGAAGTCAGCATCTGCGGGGTCCCTCGGGCGCCCCTGAGTGGGCGACAGCCGCAGCAGACGTCTCTGCCGGGAGTCCGCGACCTGCCAGCTCTGGGGATTCCTCCCGGGCAGGCGCTCGCCCTCTGTTTTATGGTGAGTGTCTTCCAGCTCCTGGTCAGGGGCGATCGGGGGGCCGGGGGCGGAGATGGGGCCGCGCGGACTTGGTGCGGACGCGCACTCTTCACAGCCGGCGCTCCTGGCGTCGGTCTGGTCCGGGTCCCCGGGAATCCCTCTCTCTGCGGATTGTGGCGGTCGGTGCCGGTTGGCGTGCGCGCAGCCCCTGGGCGCTGGAGACAGCCTCTGGGTTCGAAACCCGCTGATTCTCCGTGGAGTGGAGACAGCGTACCCCCAAAATGTCTCCAGAGTCACCCCGCCTGGGTTTGGGTCTAACATCGGTCAATCGTTGGCTGGGTGACCTTGGGCAAGGCACCAGAGCTCGGTTTTCTCATCCGTAGAATGGGGATGATAGTTGAGCCCGTTTTGCAAGTGGATGGGGAGGGTCCGTGGGATAGTACGCAGCCCTGTGCCTGGCACACAGGAAGCACTCCATCATACGTTAGCTAGCGTTATTATGAGCTCTGTGAACCCCAGGATGTCACCCAACTTTCCAGAGTGACTGCAATTCCCTTGTCTGTAGAATGAGGACCGCCATCCCTGGGTGGTCGGTTGGCCCAGAGTGGTGGAAGTTAAAGCGCCCAGCACGCCGTAGGCACTGGTTTGGCTGTGGCCGTTGTGATCCTTTGTAACTGACGGTGGGGGTGAAGCCGATCGCATGGCCCCGACCAGCTCTCGGGCCACTTCCCCGCCTTGCTTGTGGACAAACTTGGCTATGCTGAGGAAGGGAGGGGGAGTCAGGAACTCCAGGAGTCCTGGGCGCGGGGCTCTGGGAAGGGGAGAGGAGCCTGAGCGCGCGGCCAATGTGTCCGCCCTGGTCACGCTGGACGAGCCACCGGCTGCGAGCCAGGGGAGGACGCCCGGTCCCAGACCTCTGAATGGCTGGAGAAGCTGGGGGAGTGGTTGCTCTCGCCGCCCCGTGCCCAAGCGGATAGGAAGACAGAAGGGGTCACTTTTTACCGCTGTCTAGAGGAGATGCAGAACTCTGGGCTCTGGAATCGGACTTGGGTTCGAATTGTGCTTCCACCAGCTCAGCGCTGTGACCTTGAGCAAGTTCTCTACCGTCTCCCAGCTCTTCTGCGCCCCACCCTCCTCTGTTGGGATTGGGGTGTGAACATAGGAGCTTTCTCCTCTTAGGATTCTGATCCCTCTACACACCCATTCATCTGTCCCCCGAAATTTGATGAGCCTAAAGTGAACTGGCTCAGGTGAAAGCTATTAAAAGGAGAATTGGCATCTACGCATAGGAAGCGATCCTAGCACCAGTTAGCACCCGTCTCTCTCGTCCCTGTTTCCCCACTTTGGTGTCTCTGTTCCCCCATCTAACTCCTGCAGCCTCTGTCACTCAGGCTGATGGTGGAGGAAGGAGGAGAGATCCTAATCCTTTCCCCAAATTCCTCCTGGAAAACCTTTATTATTTTTTAGGGCTACAGATAAACCCTGTTTGCAGAAAACAAAATGTCAAAAAGCATGATATAAATGTTCTTTACATAAAGGCATATTCTGCGACTCATACCCCTGACTCTCCCTTTACCAATGGCAAACAAAATCCAATTCACCAGCTATTCCATTCAAATATCCCTCCAGTTTATTCAGTGACATAAAAATAAAATCTGCAAGGAAAAGAAATCACCATGAACAGTCAAAAAATCTAGGGCAAACCAGAGAAAGAATTGCCACTCCTATAGCAGTGGGCCCGTCTCTGTAAATGTGTAAAAGATGCTCCAAGTCAACAAAACGGACAAAAACTACAGACAATCCACACACACAACAACAAACTAGGAATAACACTAAAACCCATTCCAGGTGCTCTGCCTTACTTGATAAGAAAAAAATGTACACTGAAGGTAGAAGATTCAGTTCTTCAGACAGCAGATTAACAAGCAGTAATAACCACTTATTAAAGTGGAAATAGATCAAATGCCTCCCTAGCTATGAACCATGGGTAAAATCTACATACCTCCAGGGCCCTCTAGGCCTGGTTACTGCCCCCCCACAACCCTCACTCCTTTGTCACCACTGGCCTCTGTCACCACCCCCTAACCACTCAGGGCTTCTTGGTTTTGCTCCGGTACTTCAAGGGCTATTCACTAGCTGGCCTCCCTGGAATACTTTTTGTCCTGGCTTCCCATAGAACTGGAACCATCTGTCCATGTAAGCCTGCCCTTGGATGGCTTCGTTCTTCCACAAGGAAGTGGTCAAGCCCAGGCCAGTGTGGATTCCTTGCCTTTCGGGGGAAAAGACCCAATGCAACCCCTTATACCCTAACTACTTAGTTGCTTCTAAGTTGCCTGGTCTGTCCTGTCATGTTCGTGTTTTGAAAGTTTCCTTCTCAGCTGTTACAGGAACGAAGGTCTCAGGCACCCTCCCAGCTAGACGTGAAAGTCAGGAAGGTGGTGGGACCTAGATTCAAGTCATCAGACTTCTCTCATGGTAGTCATTAAACCTAAGAAAGTGTGTAATGTGTGCGCTTAACTTACGTGAGCATGACCACACAAACATCATCTTACAAAAAAGATGGATCAGGACTGGGCCTGGTGCGTCTCACCTGTAATCCCAGTGACTTAGAAGGCAGACATCGGAGGATTGCTGTTGGAGGCCAACCTCAGGCAAAAAGTTAGTAAGACCCTCTCAACAAACAAGCTGAGCGTGGTGGCATGCAGCTGTTATCTCAGCTATGTGGGAGGCCTACGTAGGAGGATTTCAGTCTGAGGCCAGCCCACACAGAAAGCAGGAGACCCTATCTGAAAAATAACTTAAAGCCAAAAAGGACTGGAGGATATGGCTCCAGGTGTAGAGTACTTGCTAGGCCCTGAGTTCAAAATCCTAGTGCTACCAAAAAGAGAGAAGAAAAAAAATCAATCATAAAGCATTAAAAATTCAGCAACACATTTTAAATAAAATGTGGTCCCTATCTAAGCTGACCAGGTTTCCTCCTGCTGTTCAGAAACAGGGATTTGCCTTGAGGCTGCAGGCAGCAGCTGTGAGGCTCATCCTTTGGGAAAGGGAACTGCACACCCGAATGAGTTATAGTGAGCTTTGAGGGCCTTCAAGAAAGCATTACAGGCAGAAATCTTTCCAGACTGCATGTGACTTTTGCTTCACAACTTAAAGCCCATTTATTTAAAAAAAAAGTACCTGAATTGTCAAAAAAAAATTTTGTTGGTAAAAACACAAGGCATGCAGGAGGTTAAAGTGTATTATATTATATAGTCCTTCTTCAGCCCATGCAGCCAGAGGCAATGGGGACAGGCTGTATGCTGGTCTTGGAGACAGACACTAGTGAGACCCACTGAGCCTGGCTAGAAACACAGCATGTGGTACAGCAGACCAACAGCTAGGACGAGGAGTGGAGGGAAGAGGCCACGGTGGGCTGCAGGACTGCCTAGGAATGCCAGCCAGGCAGCAAGGGTGGGGAGGCCCAGGATGCCCCAGGTGTGATGGGGATGTGCCACCTTAACCACTCTGAGGTGGTTGAGCCACAATGAGAGACCATGGGAGGAATAAGCAAGAGCAAGAGTGGGCACCCTTGGGTGCCAGCCTAGGAGTGGAGGCTTAAAGAAGCAGGAAGGTGGGCAGCTTGGTCAGATTTGCCCTCTCAGCAGCATGAAGGATGGGTTGGGGGGTAAAGGCTGGAATCACAGAGACCCCTTGGGAGACCCCTGTAGTGGTCCAGACAAGGTCTGAACCAAGGAAGAGGGAGACTGAGGCTGGATGCCCTCAGAAGCAGGAGGGGCAGAGAGGACCCCGGGATACAGGAGACAGAAGAGCTGAGCTCAGCCAAGGACCCGTGATTCTGGGGTTCTAGTTGGGGGGCCACCAATGTCCCATAGCGCTGAGAGAGTGGGTCTGCCCACAGTGGGAGGCTTAGGGTGGAAAGAGGCCAGCTGGCTTACCAAGGTCACCTAAGCCACTCCATCTGGTGGCTCCATGCTTGTAGGAGGTGGCCTGGTGCTAAGGAGGGAAGGCAGGGCTGGAGACCCCACATAACGACACCTGCCAAGGGCCTCTGGTGCAATTACTAAGGACAGCGTGCATGGAGCGGAGGAGCCGAGTGTGACGACGTCACCTTGGGGGTCACAGGTGGGAAAGCTGCCACTGTGTGAGTGCTACGCCTTGTGTGCTAGCATGTGCCGGGGTCCACATCACATACCTGGCTTCGAACACTGTGAAATGTCATTCATGGTAAACTTGAACCTGTCTTCCAGAAATAAGTGGGCTGCCTTACAGGGACATCCCACCTGTGAGTCACATTCTGTGACACAGATATGCAAGTCACACGTAGGTTGTTCTGGTGCTGAGGGGCCCTTCCCACATGTGGTCCCCGCCGCCTTTCTGCATCTCCCTTCCTCACTTCTTCCTTGCTTTCCCTTCCATGCCTGGTATCTCAAGCGCCCAGAGATGTCTCGGTCTTAGAACCCTTGGAGATCTCAGCAGGTTCTGGATCCCCTAGCTTCACCCTGAGGCCTGAACGGCAGGGGCAAAGTTGATCTCAGGAAATAAATAAGAGGTTGTTCATGAAAATAATTGTGTTCTCAGAATAGAAGTTTCCCCAGGGGCTCCACCAGGCCTCCCTCAGTCCCTTCTGGCGTGCTTTGCCCCACCCCAAGGCTAGCTGTCCTGCAGAACCATCTTCATGCACCCTGAGGTAGCCCCGTGGGCACAGGGCCAGCTGCACAATGACCAGGCCTGCCAGGATGGAGCACGGCCTCAGTGGCTTGGGGCTATGTCTCTTTCAAATGACCTTGCAAAGCATGCTGGCCTGATCACTGCCCAGCAAACCTCCCACATTGCAGTCCCTGCTCCCCTGGCTGGCTGACAACTGAGCTTCTACCTTGAGGGCCCTGCTCAGCCACGTGTGGGAGGATTGCCATGGAAACCCCGGGAGGAGGGCAGGCTGGGGAACCCTCATTGATTCAGCTCTAGGAAGACAGCGTGAGACAGTACCACCTGGAACTGGACAGATGGCCGTCTTTGTG